TTTTTTTTTTTTTTACAAAGCAAACTTTTCTTCTTTCTAAAGTCTAAAAAAAAGAGAAATAACTTCTTTTCTGTACATGTTCCAGAGTATTTGAAAAGATATTTTTAAATTTAAAAGACAGAACAGTAAAATGAAACAGTAAAAGGAAGGATCTAAAAAATGTATTATTTATTTTATTTTATCAAAAATTCTAGCTCAGCAAAAAGAAAAAAATATAAATTATAAAATAAAAAAATAAATATAAATAATAATTATAATTATTATATATAATTAATATATAAATAATAAATATAATTATATTAATATATAAATAATAAATATAAATTATAAAATAAAAATATAAATATAAAGAAACATTAAGATATTCGTAGAGCATTAAAAAAATTTATTATTTTCATATTATTACAATTAAAATCTTTAAATGGTAACTGATTATTTTTGTAATAAAATAATAAATAAAAATAATAATTAAAAATAAAATAAAAAGGTAAATAATAAAGATAAAATTCGAGGAACTTCAAGCTCAAATCGACATTTAATAAACATTATTTAATTTTGAATAATTTTAAATATATAACCATCGTGCAACGATCTAATGAAATCCAACTGCGAAGGAATAAAATAATAATTTGTCTCATTTATTAAATAAGTTATTTTATAAATTTTGTATATTCCAAAGTTACAAAGTATATTCTAAATTATGAAATAATTTTGCATATTCCGTACATTCTGCATCCATGGATGCAGCCTGCCTGTCTGAAATTCCACGACGATCCAAGAGAGCCAAAGATTCATAAATCACTCACGTGCGTAACTGAGCAATATCCAATTTTATTGCATCGTTAATCTACAAATAGAACGATGAATCCTATTATATCTTGAAGAACCTCGAGTTTTATCCTGTAATCTAATCACATCACGCAACGTTGAAATGCAACGATAATTAATAATCCTCAGCGTAACTAAATATTAGAACGAACAAATCCTCCTAAACGTGGAATTGCAGTTTGCTGGTTTATTAATTCGCATTTGGGACGCGCATTAATTCATTGGATTATCAAACTGTCGTTGTTGATATTTATCACTGGGCACACGTGTCACGCACGTTCGTCTTGATATCCCGGTATCAAGCGTTAAGGTGCGTCCACACTTGTATCAACGAGATTCGACGCAGAGCCAATTTCTATATTCGTTTGTATCGATACTAACAACGTCACCGTAATTAGTTTATGCCGTTCCAATTGAACAGATGACAATCAGGATTCGTTCAAAGGATATTAAGCGTATTACAATGCATTTAGACTTTAGATCAAACGAACTAAAGGCCATTTATAAAATCATAAATGTAAGACAAAGAGCATCCGTATCGTTGAATTCATAATATTCTTTTTAAAATTTTCTAGTATATTTCTGGTAAAAAAACTTATGTCTTTGATATAAGAATGAGTGCGTATTGAAGTGCACAACGAAGAATCTCAAAATTTTGGCCACTTGACGTTAAGGTCCATTTTCGTCAAGTCAGACGAAACTTCTGAATATTTTCAAGAAACTCTGATAAAATTGTAGGATTACTCACAATGTTGCAGAACAATGCGAAAATACATAGTTTCTACAAAATATACACAGTATCGTCGTTAAAAGTAAACTACAATTATAACCAGAAATGTAATCACTTTATGATTAATAATTGTTGTAACCTTCGATTACAATGATTAATCGACTGATTAATCAGTCCTTTGATAATGATCAGCGCGCAATAATCAGTACAGTCTGGCTAATATACTACGTATAAAATCACGTACTGGTCTTCGTCAGTTTTGTGTATCTTAAACCGGAAATACGTGGAAAGCTGCTAGAGTCGATTTGATACGCACGTTTTTAGAAACTTTATAAAGAACATTTGA